ATAATAATAGTGTGCCATCAAGGCAATTCTGAGTTATGGCTACCCTTTTCAGGGTTTAGCAGGTAGACTAGTGGTTAAATCACTCAGCCAGCCAGCTGATGGTAAAGTAGGACCCCTTTATCCATGGGATGAGTATCCCCTGATTCACTGATCCGCAGTCTGAAAATTTTTAAAATATTAAAAGAAAAATCCAAGAAATATGTATTTCTAAAAATGAAATTACGAGAACTGGCCACTAGATGGAGAGAGAGAGAGATCATGCTGTGCATAGCGTTTGCTAGGGTTCGATATAATCTGCGCTTTTCAGCATCCGCAGGAGGGGACTCTGGACCTGGTTCCCTTGTGGATACGGAAAAACAAAAAGCCATCTAAACTGTTTATATAATTTCTGCCTTGCACTTTATTGAAAGCGTTTACCCAGCTAAACTGATTTGACTGAACGGAAGCATGTTATTCCCTACGTCTACGAGACAAAGATAAATCATTTAGGGGTTTCCTTGGAAAAAACGAGGAGAGCATGATAGGGAGTGTATAAAGTGATGTGCAAAGTCTCAGAATCCTTGAACCCGGGGCCTTCCAGTCAAGCTGAATCACAGGAGACTCAGGACTGAAAAAGAAAGGAAACCAGCATTGTGTTGAAATGCAGTTCCTGCCACTTCCCCGCCTTGATGGGTTTTCCAAGGGGTTCAAAACAAACGCTACCTTTTCAAGTTGGGAAGGAAATCAATCGATCTGTTGCAAAACGTATCCATACACGCAACAAAGATGAAATCAATGATTCAATAAACACAGGATGTCAGCAGTCAACAACAATCAAACGCCAATAAACGCCCAAACTGAAATTGACGAATTCTCAAGAGCTATTAAACTTTGGGTGTCTTTGGGCCCCTCCAGTGGCTTCTCGCTTCAGTGGCACCTCTGAAAAGGTCCGGTCCTTCCTCAGCCCTGCTTCGGTCTTGCAAACTCAAGGCGGTGTTTTCCTCGGAGTCGATCCATTTCACAGAGTGGCACCTCTGAAAAGGTCCGGTCCTTCGCAGCCCTGCTTCGGTCTTGCAAACTCAGGGCGGTGTTTTCCTCGGAGTCGATCCATCTCACCGTTGGGTCTTCCTCTTTTCCTGCTGCCTTCAACTTTTCCTACCGTTATTGTCTCTCCTGCAGAGTCTGGCCTTCTGTCAGGATCTGGGGGGCGGCAGGGCTTCCACCCTGCACCACCGCCCCGGCAGCTGCAGGATCGGGGCCAGCTTGGTCCCAGGCAGAGCCCAGGGTTTGCAGGATCAAGCCCCTTTCCTGGGGTAGCAGCTGGGGGGGGGAGGTGTGAGGGAAGGCCTCCTTAAAGCCTTCTTCCCTCCCAGCAGCTGTCTCCGCAACTTAGATCTTCTCTTATCCCTTCTTTTTTTGCAAAACCCAGATGATTGGCCTCCAGGGGTACAATTCTCCTAAAAAACCAACCTCCCCCCCCCTTTGCATTGAAAGCCAGTTCCCATAGGAAAGGCAGTGTGGTGCAGTGGATAGAGCAGCTGTCTATTAAGGCTCAGACCTGTGTTCAAATTCTCTCTAACCCAAGAAAACTTACTTGAGGGCTGGAAATGATACACCCATTACTTAAAAATCTCCCTTACCTACAAAGGTCCCCCTAAGATGGAGGTCGGTGGCCCCAGCAGGGGGTTATTAAGGTGCCATCTCCCCGATTCTTTTTTTTTGGGGGGGTAAGGTTCCCCTTTTTCTCAGTCTACCCTCTTTTTGAGAGGGGAAGGGGGGAGAGAAAGGAAATACCCCCCCAAAAAGCCTTGTGTTTGCTCTTTTACACCCGCGCCTGCGCTTCAACCCTTCCCCACGACCAAGAGACGCGCGGCAGGAGACATTCACACGATCCCCGGAGGAAATCCTTGAGAGAACCCGAGAGATCTTGCGTGTTGGGATTTTATTTCTCAAAAAAGAGAGAGAAGCCCTTAACGGGCCTTATCTATGAAAGGGGGTGGTGGTCTTCTGGCCAAGAGGCTGCCCCCCCCAAAAAAACCCGGGGGGGAGGAGGAAAAAAAATCCGGGTTCCGCGCATGCGCACTTATCCCTCCCACCCCTCCAAAAAAAAGCCCGTTTTGTGTACAGTATATGGCCGAGTTTGAGCCGCGTCCCTTTAAACGGCGTGGGCGAGGAGGCGGCTCCTTCGGAGGAAAAAATAAAAAAGGACTTTGGGGAGGGAAAAAGATGTTTTAATGGCTCGCCCGAGGCAGCTGGGGGGTTTGTCGAGGGGTAGCTCCCATCTGCTCTTTGCAGCCTCCGAAGGGGGGGGAAACAACAACCCCCCCTCTTTTGCAAGCCCGTGGAGGGAGGGGGGGACCCGCCGGATCGATCCCCGCATTGCAACACCTTTTATTTTCATTTTCAGAGCGTGCAGCCCGAACGCCGCCGCGCAAAATCGGCTCTGATTTCATTTTTTCCCCCCCCAAGGCGATCTCTTGGGCTTTGACCAGAAAAGATCGAGCACCCCCCCCCACCCCCGGGGGTTGGGTCGCCGCCTTTAAGGGAGGGGGAGACAAAAAAAAACACCCTTTTTTTAAAATTGATTTTTTAAAAAAAATCCTAGCTGGCCAGGGAAAGAAAAAAGAAATAAAAGGGGGGGGTTCGTGGCGGTCGTCCGTCCGCACCCCCCAAGACCGAGCCAAGAGGGGGGGGAAGGCGTCTTGCCCGGGAGCCGGCGCGAAGGTGTCTTTCTCCCTCGGAGCAGCTAGAGAGCAGTGCAGGGCTTGACACACAATATATATATATTTTTTCCTCCCTCTTCTGTGCATGGCTTGATACGGTAGCATTTCGCCCGCCGCTGACATTTCCTGTTTGGAGACCAGCCCCCGCTTTGCGAGAGAAGAAGAAGAAGAAAATATTTTAAAAAGCAAAAGGCACCGCAGGGACTGGCGCCTTGAATTTGGCCTTGATTCCCCCCCCCTTTTTTTCTTATTCCCTCCCCACCTCCGGCCGGCGGCTGAGTAGCTG